TGGTGAATTGATGAAACCCTAAGTGCTAACCTAGTTTATCAAGTGATTATGATATAGCTAGCACACTCCAAGTGGCGAAGCAAATGAAGATCATAACATGATGATGGTGATGCCATGGTGATGATTAAGTGCTCGAACTTGGAAAGAAGAAAGAGAAAAACAAAAGGCTCAAGGCAAAGCTATAAATAGTAGGAGCCATTTTGTTTTGGTGATCAAGACACTTAGGGAGTGTGATCACATTTAGGTTTGATAGCCATACTATTAAGAGGGGTGAAACTCGTATCGGAATACGGTTATCAAAGTGCCACTAAATGCTCTAACTCATTGCATATGCATTTAGGATCTAGTTGAGTGCTAACATCCTTGAAAATGTTTGTGAAAATACGCTAACACATGTGCACAAGGTGATACACTTGGTGGTTGGCACATTTGATTAAGGGTGGTGAAGTTTGGGTGCAAGGGTAAGAAACTCCACCGACGGAGTGTCCGCCCGTAGAGTGCGAACAGTCCGACGCTGCCACCGGTGCCCTAGACAGAAAAGACGGAGGTCACTGTAAGTGACCGGACGCTGGTCTCGGTTGGACCGGCGCGTCCGGTCAGTGGCCGCAGAGGGCGTGCGTTTCGGTCTCATGACCGGACGTTGGGTCGCTCAGCGACCGGACGCTAGCGGGGTGCGTCCGGTCAGTGCTGACGTACGCTGACGTAGGGCGTACAGAGAAGACGTTGTGTGATCGGACGCTGGTTGTGTCTGGTAAAGCATGACCGAACGCGTCCGGTCGGAAAAATCACGTTTAGAACCTTACTGGAAACGATCGGACGCTAAAGTCCAGCATCTGGTCACTTTCTAACTGACACGTCCGGTCAGCAGACGACCGTTGAAATCTAACGAACAGTATTTGAAGCAGGGGACAAGTGGCGTGAATCACGTGATCGGACGCTGAGGGCCAGCGTCCGGTCGATCGGACTGGAGCGTCCGGTCACCCTGCGTTGTGCCCAGTAAAGGGGTACAACGACTCTATTTCATGGGGGCTTCTATTTAAGCCCCATGGCCGGCTCAAGCTCACTCTCTTGGCCATTTGCATTTACATAACAACCTTGTGAGCTTAGCCAAAGCCCTCCCACTCTTCATCATAGATTAAACATCTTTATGAGATTGAGAGTGAATCCAAGTGCATTGCTTGAGTGTTTGCATCTAGAGGCACTTGGTGTTCGTATTTCGCCGCGGGATTCACTTGTTACTCTTGGTGTTTGCTGCCATCTAGATGGCTTGGAGCAGCGAGGATCGTTGAGCGGAGGGTGGTGATTGTCTCCGGCTCCGATCGTGGTGATTGTGAGGGGTTCTTGACCTTTCCCCGGCGGAGCGCCAAAAGGTACTCTAGTGGGTTGCTCATGGCTTGTGTGATTCTCATCTTGCGTTGGTTGTGCGGCACCCTATTGAGGGTTTGGCGTATGAAGCCAATTAGCGCGTGAACCTCCAAGTTAGTGAATCACCACAACGAGGACTAGCTTGCCGGCAAGCAAGTAAACCTCGGTAAAAAATTATTGTGTTCATCATTGATTCCGAGGTGATTGGTCTTCATTGGTATCCACATTTGTGATTGATTGGTTCATACATCTACACGGCGGTATAACTTTCTTGATCACTCTCTTTACATTATCACAAACTAGTTGTCAAGCTCTTTAGTGTAGCTAGTTGTGAGAGCTTGCTTGGTTGGTTGGTGTGGCTCTTTAGTTAGCCTTTGAGAGCACACTAACATAGGGTAGTGTCATAGCTATTGTGTGAATAGAGACTATTTAAACTAGAATTATGGTAGGTGGCTTGCATTTTGAGTAGGCTAGCGCAACACTTGCCTCGCCTCATAATTGTCTAACCATTTTATTAAGTGTTGTTGTAGAAATTTTATTAGGCTATTCACCCCCCTCTAGCCATTAGGACCTTTCACCTTGGCAAATTTTACCGAGAACCGAACCGAAAAAACCGAGAACCGAACCGAATTTATCGAAAACCGAAATCTCGGTTCCCTGTTCAGTTCCCATTTCCTAAGAACCGAAATTGGTTCGATTAATTCGGTTCCTCCCTTCGGTTAATCGAACTAACTGAGGAACCGAACTCCCGCCTCCTGGAGTCCCGGCGCCCTCCTGCGACGGCCGACCTCCCGCGGCCCTGCATCCCCGCCCAGAGTCCGACACACCCTCCCGAGTCGTTGATTTTTTGGAAGCCGGAGTGGGTCGGTTAGTTCGGTTCGGAACCGGAACCGAACCGAACTAACCAAAGCCGAACTTTGTCGGTACCGATTTTTTGGAAGAACCGATCGGTACCGACTTTCCTGGGAACCGAAGAACCGAGGATTCGGTTCGGTTCGGTAGTACCGAATGCCCAGGGCTACCCGTATACACCCTCTCTCTTTTCTTTGACTTGTAAGGCCATCCCTTCAATTATAAAAGGGATGCGCTCTCTTCTAAAAAGACCAAAGGACTCAAGGACTCGAGGACTAGAGGACTCGAACAGCTCAATAGCTCAACATCTCTAGAGCTCGATAGCTACACAGTCTACATGCTTTCAACAGCTAATAAGCTTGGACACACAGAGCATACACTCCAATACATAGCGCATATTTGAGCATCCGTCACTCTCTTCCACTCGGTTCAGAGTTCGACCGGGCCTCTAACACCCCCCTCTCATTCCTTACTCGTTTGTAACCCCACATCAAACTTCAAGCACTTAGGCTCAGAAATAAAGTCACCAACCGATTGAAACTGGATGGAGGGCATGTTGCATGAACCAGTATAAATCCTGTGTCATCATGTGCTAGACCACATCCGATCACAACGCACGACAAAACTATAAATATTTACTTGTTAGTCATATTTCGCACCGACAATACCTAGAATGTGTTATTCTAATGGTGAGTTTCTAACCTCTGTTGAAGGCTCTATTGTGACACCATTTTATGAAAGTGGGTTTATTTTTTATGTACACTTCATATTTTACCTCATGAGTTCCAGAAGTAAGATGAGGTTAAGATTATGAAATAATCCTTGTGATGTATTCGATATACTTGTTAAGTATCTATATGCATATGCTTCCTGTGGAAAGCGTTTTTGGCATAGGGGGACAATGCTGTAAAGTTTAGGGGAAGAACTTCCCCATTAACTCTTGATCAAAATTTTAGAGAATTCAAAATGATATGATCCAGAAGGTCACAATTTATCCTGAAGACATATGTTGTACTCTTTTTTTTCTTGATGAGTTTTTTTCTGAAGTTTCTCATGTAAGGTTTTTAATGAGGCAACAATGTGCAAATGCATTAAGCGACAATGATGCATTCTTTCTCCATATTTTTCACATTGGGTGTTTAGAGTTTTAATGAGGCATGCATTTGTCATGGTATTCGTCCAAGGGGAGTGTTAAGAATTTCTCAATTAGAGGATTGATGGGCTCATACCATATATACCCTGATGGACTTCTACCATATATGTCACGGTGGCTACCATATATGTCATGAAGGCATCTATATAAATGGACTACATGTACGTCTATATTGACTAATAAAAGATGACTCCTCTCATATACTTCCTTTGTCCCAAAATAAAAGTCATTTTCGTTTCTCAATAAGTTAATTTTTTTTTAAACTTTGACCAATTATATATAAAAGAATATTAATATTTATAATACATAATTAGTATTATTAGATAGATCGTTGAATGTACTTTCATAATAAACTTATTTGAAGATACAAATATTACACGTATTTTCTATAAATTTAGTCAAAGTTGAGAAAATTTAACTTACACGTGTTCCATAACATCCTTCATTTTGAGACGGAAGGAGTACTTATGTTTTATGTGTTCCCGTGGGCTGTTCTTGGGATTGGAGATGGAAAAACGGAACCGACAATCCGTGAATAGGTTGATTCTCGACACCAGTCACCCACCTTGGCACCTTGCTGCTGCAGACCTGCAGTCCAGCACCGATCCGATCCTACCTCTTGTTTAGTTTTCCTAAACTCTAATTTGACATGTAAAAAAAAGCAGCCTTCATATAATTTTTTGGTACATGCATGGAATACTAAAAGTAGACGAAATTAAAATTGTAAAAGAAGTTTTTTCCATCCTATTAACATTTTAAACCTAATTAGTCGATATGGTTGAACAATTATTACTAAATATAAATAAAATAAAGAGAAATCGACACTATGCAAACTTTGGACGTCCAAATTCCGACCAAGGCCACGTTTAGTTGGTCACCAAGTTGGCGAATCGATTTTTAAATAGCTACGATTGTTCGTTTTTTTAAATAATAATTTCCAACCAATGACTAAAATAAAATTCTACAGAAAGACAAACTAACTAAACCGTCACATCAAACATTTGCAACATGTCGATTCGGTCGAACTCAATTTAATTGCACAATGTCAAAGTTAATTTAACGATGAACTAAACAGGCCCAACTAAACGCGCCCCTACTCCTTCCGTGGGACGTGGACCACTGGGTCCGCAGGTCTGTTGGGGCCGGGCAACTGCCATTGCCTTTGGGACGTGGACCAACGGTCGGGTCAGATGCCGGGGTCCGGCGCCCATCAGAGGGAGTAATACAGATGCAGTCCCCAGGCCCAAACGAGGGCTGTCAGCCCCCACCCGCCGCAAAAAGCGCGTTCCTCCGCGCCGAATTCCCATCTCCTCCGACTCCCCAAGGGAAAGGAAGGGCTCCCATCCGATCCGATCCGATCCCATGGCGATGGCACCGCCGCCGCAGGAGCCAATCCACCGCTAACGTAACCCAAACCGACCCATGGAAGGAGTAGGATCCTCCGATTACCCCCCTCCTCCTCCCACCTTCCTCCGCTCCACCCTCCCCCTCCTCGCCTCCCTCGTCGGCGCCAACCACACCTCCGCCCGCTTCTGCTCCCGCTAGCACTACACTAGCACCAGCACCGGACCTCTTCCCTTCCCTCCCCTCCCCTTCTCCACTCTCCCTCACCAGTGGCCGGCGGACCACCATGGACCCCTCCTCCCCGCCGCGGCGGTGCTCCCTCCTCCGCCGCCTGCTCCTCCTCGCCGTCGCCGTCCTCGCGCTCCGCCTCCTCTACGGCGCCTTCCTCGCCGTCTCCGCTGGGCCCGCCGGCTGGCCGCTCTACCGGCCCGCCGCCACCACCGCCACAACAGCCACGAGGACCCACGTCGTCCAGGCCGACGTCCCGTCGCCGGAGGCCTGGCGCACCCGCCGCTGGCGCAGGGCGGTCGAATACCACGCCGCCGTCATCGCGCCGCACCTCGCCGCCGGGGCCCTCTCGCCGGCATCCCGCGCCGTCTGCCTCGGTGGCGCGCAGGAGGCGCTCGCGATGCGGGAGCTCGGCGTCGCCAAAGCCGTCGCCGTCGCCAGGAAGCGCGCGCCCCCGCTCGTCGTCGCGGGGGACGACCGACGCCTGCCGTTCGACGCGTCGTCCGTCGACTTCGTCTTCGCGGGGCGCGCCCTCGACGCCGCCAAGCGCCCGGCCGACCTCGCCGCCGAGGCCGCGCGGATCCTGAAGCCCGAGGGCCATCTCGTCGTCCTCACGTCCAGCGCCGCCGACGCCTACAGCCTCCGCTCGATCCAGGCGCTCCTCCCGTCGCTCCGCCTCGTCCGATCTCGCGAGATCGACGCCACCCAGGACGGCGACTCCTCCACACTCCGAGAACTTGTCTTCCAGAAGAATCCTCATCCCACTGGCACGGGCACTTCATCAGTGAACAACTGCTCGGTTGGGGATCACAGGCGCCAGCTCCTCGCGCACGCCGAGCCACTGATCCAGGAAGAGCCACTCAAGCCGTGGCTCACGCTCAAGAGAAACATCAAGAACGTCAAGTACCTCCCGGCGCTGGCCGATATCAGCTTCAAGCGCCGGTACGTGTATGTCGACGTTGGCTCGCGCAGCTACGGCTCCAGTATTGGCAGTTGGTTCCGCAAGCAGTACCCTAAGCAGAACCACACATTCCAGGTGTTCGCCATCGAAGCTGACCCGGCGTTCCACTCTGAGTACGCGGCAAAGAAGGGTGTCACGTTGCTTCCTTATGCAGCCTGGGTCAAGAATGAGACACTCAGATTCGAGATCAGTGGTGATCCTGGAAAGGAGGTCGAGGCCAAGGCCAATGGCCGTGGCATGGGGCGCATCCACCCCGCCACCGGGAAGAAGATGTCCGGCGAGGTCAGGAGTGTCCCTGCGTTTGACTTTGCCGAGTGGTTGAAGCAGACCGTGACGGAGCAGGACTATGTGGTGATGAAGATGGACGTGGAGGGGACCGAGTTCGATTTGATCCCAAGGCTGTTTGACACGGGCGCAATCTGCTTGGTCGACGAGCTTTTCCTTGAGTGCCATTACAATCGGTGGCAGAAGTGCTGCCCTGGTGAGCGGTCGCCCAAGTATGAGAACACCTACGAGGAGTGCCTGGACCTTTTTAGCTCGCTGCGGGAGAGCGGCGTTCTTGTGCATCAGTGGTGGTAAAGTGCCATTGATTGGTAAGTGCTGCCCTGGTGAGCGGTCTCTGGTACAGACGTTTGGAGCGGCGTTATCGCAGTGGTGGTAAAGGCTTGATTGGTAATCTCTTCTCTGGTACAGACGTTTGGAATTATCGCAGCGCAGATAGAGTTCAAAGACAGATGACAAAAGGTTTTGACTAAGTAATTTATTTCCACACTGTATTCATTTTTCCTTGTAAACATGGGCAGTTGAGGAATTGAATTGTTTTACGCTGTTTACGATGTGTAGTTAATTAAAAAGGATTAAAGGAGTTGGTAAGGTGAAGTGAAGGGAAAGAAATGTACTTAGGGGTAGTTGCATTCCCAGTAAAAATCACTGTGCCTTGCAATTTGCCCCTGTTGAGCAAATAATTGGAATGAATTATCAGTGAATTTATTGACACACATGATTCAAAGGATCAGTGTGAACTGTTGACACTTCGATTCCTGCAGTTCGACATGCTACTCTGACATTGTTCAGTGTTCACCAGTTTGCTAGCAAATACACGACATTGTTTAGGAAAAGACAATTTCTTGCTGACTAGTGCATAGTAGTATTTTCAGATGTTAAGGGCACCCTAAGGCATGTTCGGCTGGTATTAAAACCGGCTGATAAGTCGACTAAAGCTATTTTATTGTGAGAGAAAAGTGTAGAAGGATGATATAGAGTTTGTGTGCACTGGAGATTGGAGCAGAGTGCAGACCCATGGTCTATGTAAATGTTTTTGCACAAGGTGGAAATGCTTTATTCATATCCATGTGGCCGTGGTTGTATTAAGATGTGTATTTAGTTTGTTGACTGGATCTTATCCTATGGTGCCGAGAGAGAATTTGACATTCAGGTAATGCCGGTAGCCTATTGCCCGCCTCCTGCTGCCTCTGTGAAAAAACTGAAAATTGTTTTTGTCAGAAAGGAACCTTGTGCTACTATCTGTTAGGCTTTCTGTAAGAAGCGGGGCAAGAGACGGCAGTTTTTTCTCGCACCCTGTTTTTTTTTTTTTTATTATTGCCTCAACCTTTGAGTACAAGTTGTAGAACGCAAGTTAGACCTACAGCTTATATGTAGGCTAAGAGCACACGGCAGTGGTAACTGGAATTATGAACAGGGAATAAATCCACTCCAACCCAGGGTCTTGTTTAGATTGCAAGTTTTTTTACTCTTTTTTCATCACATCAAATCTTTGGACATATGCATGGAGTATTAAATGAATAAAAAAAGTTAATTATACGTTTAATGGTAAAACGAGATGGAATTATGAACCAGTTAGACCGTGATGGGAGCGAAAATCGAAAACGCCACAAAATCCATTCTCGAACCCGGGTCTAAACGAAGCCCGAGTGGGCAGCCTGAGCGCACGCCCAGCTGACCAACCCACCTCGGTTCTCCTCGCACCCTGTTTCTGCCACAAAACAAAACAAAGTTGTATGCCCAGCCCAACGGAGGCGTCTACTGGAACTGGAATGTCTGGCCTTTTCTGTCGTTCCTTTGGATGCCCTGCCGGCATGGCATGCCTTGCCAAAAACGATGATGATTTTTTTTTTTGATAAGAAAAGAAAAACGATGATGATTGATGAATACGCTTCCGACTTGGACAGGACTTCCTCCAGGAACAGGAAGAGGAGTATGCTTCGCTTTGGCCATGAATGGTAGGCAGACAGCATCCACCAAGCTCTTTTTAGATTCAAGCACTTTCCATCACATTAAATTTTTTTTGGAGTATTAAATGTAGTTTTTAATTGTAAATTACGAGACAAATCTTTTGAGCCTAGTTAGGTCATGATTGGACAATAATTGTCAAATACAAACGAAAGTGCTACAGTGTCAGATTCTGATTCCTAACACTCGTCTAAACAAGGCCCAAGCATTTTTTCTTTTGGGGTTTCACAGATCGCTGGGGCCCGCGATGATAAAAAAAAGGAAAGACGATGGAGTTAAGGCGATGCCATTTGTTGGCTGGACACCTGGAGGGAGGAAAGACTGCACTGTGGACTCCACTCCACTTCCTCGCTTCCTTCCTTCCTTCCTTCCGCCCCCAACCCGGTCCACCTTCTTCACTGTTCAACGACCTGGTATACTCCACCGGCCGCCGCACTGCCACTGCCCATCCACACCTTCTTCCTTCAAAACTCCTTCTGCTGGTAACTGGTAAGGTAGCTCTGCTTTTCTTGGATGGGTTGGTTATCTTCATCTCTCTCAGAAGTCAGAACTGGGGCTGGGGTTTTCTTTAATCGTTGCCGCCGTGAGTCACTGGTAACCAAAGCCGAATCTTTGTTCCATTTCTGTTCAGTTAGCAGAGCATTGGTTTAGAGCAATAACCATTAACAAGTTGCGGAAAAAAAACAACTTCTGTCGATAGAAATACCTACGAGTCAAAGCTGGACTACTTTTCTAGCTACAGTCCCTTTTCTACTTCTGTTCTGTCCAATGAGCAGAGCATGCATTCTTTCTGTAAAGCAGATACATGGATACAACAATCCTTGTGCGATTTCTTTTCGCCACAGTTTTCTACTGAACCACGCTCTTGATTTTTACCATACTCTAATAATTATAATGCCTAACCTTGAACTAGGATATCTTGTGCTTTCAGAGTCTAAATAAGGCAGAATAAGTCAGTACCCAACAAAGATCCTCTCGCATAACTCTAACAGTACATTTGCTTATGGGCTGTTAGTGCGTCTCACTCACGGTGTCAGTGTTACCCAGATCTTTATCTCTAAAAAAAAAAGGAGTTTGTTTCAACACATGTGTACTACCATCAGTAAACAAGATGCATTCCCTGGGGACATGCTTCGCTACTGTCTAAGCATTCCATTTTGGTAGTGAACTTTTGTCTATGTTGTATTTGGCAGGCACTTGAGTTTGTGATCATGTGCTTCAAGTAATATTGCTGACAAACATGGTCAAGGGATCCACAGGCCACCACAACAACCCCATCAGTTCAGTCCGTAAGTATTAGTTTCAGCAGCTGCATTTCTTGTGCCAGCGATTGTTACAGGACAAAAACTTAGAATCTATCCGTTGCTTGCAGCGTTCCAGGCGTTTCATAACGGATCATGGCATGGAGTGAATTCTGTAAGGATACGGGATGGTGCTTTGCTTGTAAAATTTGTCTCCTCTGGATCCACAGTCCAGCATGATATTGATGGGTCCTATCTGCGCATACGTTCTAGAAAGGCAACTTGCTCTGATTGCTCACATGTTCTCAAGCCAGGCGCTGATGTCTGTGTATGGCAAGCGACTTACAGAGGAGAAACAAAAGATTCTGTATGCCACTTGACTACTTTATTTCAAGTCCACTACTCCACTTCCTTACATCTTCCAAAACTTTGCTATCCTTACTTCAATATGGAGAACGAATCTACCATTTTTGGTGTATCCATGTCATTTGATAGTATCATCTCACATCCGCTCTGTTCTCTTATACGCGCAGGTACCATTGTGCCGTGATGCAAGGCTCATCAAAATCAAGAGAAATCATCAATCGGATCGGTGCCTCTGCTTGTTTGCCGTTATTTTCTATAAAGACCAGTGCCCGGGCAGCAAAGAAAAAGTGCTATCCGGTACAATAGCTGACGTAGTGACGATAGACAATATTTGCATCTTGCAAAATCTCCAATCTGAGGAGCTCCAGGATGGAAGCGTGCAATGGAATTCTTCAGTGGACAGCTTCCACCATAATAGAAACAAGCTGATAAGTGCTAGATTCTCCCTAGAAGTCGCATACCTGATAGTTTTGTCTAGCCTGAGGGGAATGGAATTCAACATCAAGCTGGTCAACGGCAATATCATTTATCAGATCATCAAAGGAGACCAAGCACGGTATAGTATTGATTCCATGAGCATACCTCCAGGTTTTGGGAAGAACATGGACATAATATCATTCAAACCACGTGATGAGGCTTTACGCCCAATTATCAGAACAGTTCCAATCACTCAGGTTAAAGAAGAAAATCTCACAGAAGATGGGTGTATCGCTGTGAAGGGCGAATCTGATAGTGCACAAGATGTTGAAGTCTTGTATGCGCATGTGGACATAAGACGCTCAAAGCGTATGAAAACTCAACCAGACCGCTTTACTAGTTATGATACGCCTAATTTCAATTGTTCCTACAACAAGAAAGAAGCAGATGGACCATCTACTAAGAATGAAAATTTAGAGAGCGACTTGAGATGTGATTCATCAGAGCAGAGAGAATCAAGTGATGAAGAGGTTTTAGGAAATCCTGGGGTGAACAAAAAAGTTTCCGGGTCTTTCGTGGTCAAGGAAGACCCAAGGTCTATGAAAGGACAACAGAAGTACCCAGTGAAAAGAAATCAGTGCTCTTTGCCTATAAAAGAAAAACAAATCTCCATGGAAACAAAGAAGAACACAACAGATCAAGGGTGTTCAGATTCTCACATTCCACATACGCCTGCAAAGAATATAGAGAAGTGCAATCGTCCGACATTTCAACTAAAGTCATTTGCTTCGTCTCGAATCCTAGATGGCAATAGTGAACCAGTATTCTGCCAAAAGAGGGGTAGGAAAAGAAAGAAACACATGTGCCAAAGAGAGTACAAACGAATGATAGACCAATGCATTGGAAATATCCAGTGTGAAGTGGAGAGGGATTCTGACTTTAAGGTTGATGCCCAGATATTGAATGGCTGTGGACATGCTTACCAAGAAGAGGATTTTACATGGCCGTCTTCCGCTGATAGTCAAGAGGAGAAGGATGAGCTTGAAGAGTTGTGGAAAGAAATGGACTATGCACTGGCCACAGTAGCAATTCATGAGCAAAAGCAGGTGAGTGAAGCATGATTTTTCTTTTGTAGTTGCTGTGGAGGGAGCTTAACTTTGGGAACACGCAAACAGTTGCTTTCCTCTTTTTCTATGAACATACTTGTTCTACCTAGCATTATTTAAGATACAAACATATTTGTTTTTGTTGTCATAGTTAATAAAATGTTTGGACTTCCAGATGACAGATTCAGAAGCCAGTCATGAGAGCAATACTGATTTAGGAAAAAGAGGAGAACACTGTCATCATGACTGCATGCTGGACGAACAGCTTGGTCTGACCTGCAGGCCGTGCAATGTTGTATGCACTGAGGCAAAGGATATCTTTCCACCGATGGTAGCTTTAAACAGCAATCAAATTAGCAATTTTTTTCCTTTATTTTACATGGGACCCCATTATTGACTGTATGCATATTTCATTTTTGCGCAGTTCACTGGTAAGGACCACGAGAGGCCTGAATGGAGCCATTTTGGTCAGGATAATCATGTACTTGACCTTTCTTTTTTTGAGATTTGTGCTCCAGAATCCTCCAAAATTAAGGAATCTGGGAATGTGTGGGCTTCAATCACTGATCTTGAACCAAAGCTACTTGCTCATCAAAGAAAAGCCTTCGAATTTATATGGAAAAACTTGGCAGGATCATTACAGTTTGAAGAAATGGATGATTCAACAAGTAAAGGTGGTTGTGTGGTTGCACATACTCCAGGAGCGGGTAAAACTCTGTTGCTGATTTCATTTCTTGTCAGTTACTTGAAAGTTCACCCAAGAAACCGACCATTGGTCCTTCCTCCAAAAGCTGCAATCCATACATGGAGGAGAGAGTTTCAGAAATGGGGCATTTTGCTTCCGTTACATGTGCTTCACCACTCTAATAGAACAAGCAAACTGATGGGAGGTCTCAGTTCGAAACTGCAGGCGGTTTTAAAGAATTTTCACCGACCATCGTGGAAAACAATGCGCATCATGGATTGTCTGGACAAATTATGCAAGTGGCATGAGGAACCAAGCATTCTTCTCATGACGTATTCTTCTTTCTTATCGCTTGCGAAAGAAGACTCAAAACTGCATCACCAGGCGTTCATAACGAAAGTTTTGATGAACAACCCTGGGCTATTGATTATTGATGAAGGGCACAACCCAAGAAGCAACAAATCAAAGGTGAGAAAACTGCTGATGAAGGTGAAGACTGAATTCAAAATACTCTTGTCTGGTACAGTCTTTCAGAACAACTTTGAAGAGTATTTCAACACCTTATCTTTGGCCAGACCTCGTTTTGTCAACGATGTTATGACCGCGCTAGTTCCAGAATCAGAAAAGAAAACACGGAACAGAACTGGCAAACATCAAGAAGCACTGGCAAGGCGTATTTTTGTGGAAAGAGTGGGGCAGAAGATCGAGTCTAGCAGCAAACATGACAGAATGGATGGCATCTCCTTGTTAAATGATCTTACTCATGGATTCATCGATTCATTTGAAGGGACAAAACTGAACATTCTTCCAGGTATACGTGTGTATACCCTTTTCATGAAACCCACTGACGTCCAGGAAGAGGTCCTGGCGAAACTGTCAATGCCCTTGTCAGGCAATGTGCGTTACTCTCTCGAGATTGAGCTGCTCATCACAATTGCTTCTATCCATCCTTGGCTTATAAACACAACCAGGTGTGCTAGCACTTACTTCACGCCAGCATAAGTAGCTAGAGTTGAGAAGTACAAGCGGAACTTTGCTGTTGGTTGCAAGGCAAAGTTTGTGATTGATCTTTTGCACAAGTCCTCATTCAGAGGGGAGAGGGTTCTGATATTTTGCCACAACGTGGCCCCAATAATCTTTCTTGTCAAGCTGATAGAGATAGTCTTTGGATGGCGTCTTGGGCAGGAAATCCTGGTGCTGCAAGGAGATCAAGAACTGCCTGTGCGGTCAGATGTCATGGATAAATTCAACGGTGACAGAGAAGGGAAGAGGAAGGTGCTGATTGCTTCGACAACAGCCTGTGCCGAGGGTATCAGTTTGACCGGTGCTTCGAGATTGGTGATGCTGGATTCGGAGTGGAACCATTCAAAGACCAGGCAGGCAATCGCAAGGGCATTCCGACCTGGCCAGGAGAGAATGGTGTTTGTCTACCTTCTTGTGGCGTCTGGGACATGGGAGGAAGATAAATACAACAGTAACAGGAGGAAAGCTTGGATCGCGAAAATGGTCTTCTTTGGGCGTTATTTCGATGACCCATTGCAAAACCGTGTGACTGAAATCGATGATGAGGTTCTGAAGGAGCTTGCTGATGAAGATGAGACCAATACTTTCCATATGATAGTGAAGCAGGACTGAAAAAGAAATGGTAGAATATTATTCAGAATATCTGTTCCTCTGTCCTGGAGTACATGGTTACTAGTATGTGTCCTATATTATCGTCCCTCCCATGCTTTGCATTTGTCCTGCTATGCTATGGTCTATGGAAAAGATCAGCTTTGTAATTGTAGTCTGGTGGTTTTAGCTGGGAAAAAAATAAATATAGGGATCTCTTTCGTTAAGACTTCGAAAAATCTTGAGATCTCATGCTTTTGTACTGTATTAGTCCTAACAAAGATGTACTTGCCTGCTACTAGACTTGCATTATTACTACTTGATTATCAGCTATCTATGTCTTGATTTCTAGATTATTTTCTCATACTCCTTGTCTTAATTTTCTCCATCTTCAGGAAATTAAAATCAATACGCAACATGCTATGTAAAACACGTACTGTACCTGCCCGATGGAATGTCCAATTCACCATGGATAAAATAAGACAAAAATGAAATGAAATGAAATGTGCAGACACTAGACAGATCACCATGAGTATCTTCTACAACTAAAAAGAATAAAGTGTGGATATTTTTTGTGCGACATTTATTTTGGTTCGTCCGTCTGTCCACGCCTGCGATCCCACGACATCTTAATTACTGATTGATCGTGTCATTCTCCTTGATTGAATATTGACTGTCATGTGATAGATGAATCACGGCAAAATATGAAGTAGAAAATTATTGTGCTATCCATATACACATTGCATGTTTGCATGCACCAGCATAGATGGCAACGAGCAAAAGAAAAGAGAATTAACACCGAAGAAAAGAGAATTAAGACAAAAGGAACATCTTTGCATTACTGAGAATCTTGCCACATCTGCCTACATTTAATTACTTCTCATCTTTGCATTTGTAAAAGGGACAGCTTTTTCCTCCTTTCATTTGGTTTCACGCTCACGTGTTCCATTGCCCTCGCTTACTGTTTCTTGCGTGAACCATAGTTAATGTCATCTGTCTTCCATGGCTCAGCCTCCTAATCCCAAGAGAAGGTTTCTACCTCTCCATGACTGGAGATCCGGCCTACCAGAGGATCTCCTCGAGTCCATCAGGCAGCGTCTCGCGTCAGGCCACGACGCGGCGTCCTTCCGATCCGCTTGCTCCCCATGGCGTGCCGCCATCCCGTTCACGACCTTCGGGCCGCTCCTGCTGCTCCCGTTCGACCCCGACTCGGACCGCGTTGGCTTCTACTGTGTCCCGGAGAAGAAGGTCTTGTCCAAGACGCTGCCCGACGTGCGCGGCAAGGTGGCGTGCGGCTCCTCATGTGGGTGGGTGGCGCTCATGGACGAGGCGGCTTCCGTGACGCTGCTGAATCCATTCGCCGGTGCCCGTGCCCCCCGCATTGAGCTCCCACCAGCAGGCGAACACGTCGTGGCGGCGTCCTCATCGGAACGCATGTCTAGGGTCCACGGCCGGTGGGTCCTCCATCCCACCAATGGCTACGGGGACGCGGATGCTGCAGGCAGAGCCATCAACCTAGAAGACATGAGGGACGTGTTCTTCTGTGAGATCGTGCTCTCGGCGCCGCCTAACGCAACCGACCGCGAATGCGTGGCCATGGCCATGCTTGGGTGCTCCACGGAGGTCGCGTTCTGCCGGGTTGAAGTCGACAGCGCATGGACGCTGCTCGACACCAAACTGGAGTTCTCCGTGGGGTCCATCGTCCACTGCCAAGATAAGTTCTTGACGATCGACTGCACTGGAGAAATCTCTGTCTGCAGCAACAACGTTGCCGGCGCTACTCCAACCGCGACGTTGTTGCCATCGTTGTCGCCATCGCAGCTACCTGGAATCAAACGGTGAGCTGCACATTGTGGGTGCCATGGTGAGCACGTTACATGTGACACAAGAGCTTCACCTACAACAGCGCGATCTATAAGTGCAACCTCCACGACCGTACGTCGGAGTGGTCTAGAGTGAGGGACATCGGTGATCAGACACTGTTCGTGTCTAAACATTTCAATAAAAGCTTCAGTGGAACAAGTGTATCCAAGTACAAGGAGAACAAAATCTACATGTCTGAGCCATTGTATGGGGATCCATACGACTTGGTCCATCGACTGGAGATCGTTGATATTGCTACCGGCGCATCTGAAGTGAAACCCGTCTAGGAAAAAATGCAGGGTTCCGAGGCTCTAGGTTGGATTCGACCCAATCTCTGGAAGCTCTAGAGTTTGTGAGTCTGCGACGCCGCGCACTCCGTGACTATGTTAAATTCATAAACTTTGTTTTTTGGATTAAATGTCACTTTAACGTTAGTATTTAATTTAATAGTATTATTATCTTATCGTGCGGTCCGTGTGTTTTTAGTATAAATTGTTAGTTATCCCGTAGCAACGCATGAACACGCTACCTAGTGAATAAAAAAAACAATAAAAATAAAATTGTTTTTTTATCGGGTACAACTGGAGGCACACAATATATATACTCCACAACGCGCATACACACGTGTACATATGTACGCATACAAAAAAGAGATTGTGAGACTCTCTAACCTCCGATACGCATATGCAAAGAAGATATTGAGAAACACTCTACCCTCCAGTGCGCCCAAAACACTCGGTACCACCAAACCACTCGACCAAAGGCCTTTTGCAAGAAGAAAATTGTTGGAATGTCCGAACACTAATCAGATCACCGTGGCTGACTGAAATGAAATAAAAAAAATGCACCAGCCAGGAATCGAACCTGGGTCTGTACCGTAGCAGGGCACTAGATGATCTGTGTTGTTACGTGCTTTGCTTCTGCAGGTTATTTACTTCTCTACAAAACTAACACTATGTTCGGATCAATTTCGGATTCTTAAAACCAAATTTTTTGTCTCTAGTTTGTAGAATCTAGATTCTGAGCAAAAATTGGTGGGGTGTTTGGATCTTCAGTTTTTAAGAATCGGACTTCATTTATTGCTCTATGTTTCAAAAAAAACTGATAAAAACTGGGTATCAACAGCCGATTCTTAAGAATCTTGCAAAACTAGCCTATTTATATCCGGCCTGGTTTCCAAAGGTCAGATTCTTCAAAACTGGCAAGAACCGGAGGATCCAATAGGGCCTAAAACGTACGTATCCACCTTTGCTCTGAATGTGCCATGATGGACACGCTTGTGTGTAAGCAAAGCTAGAAAGAAAATCTTGTACAACAATTGAAAATGATGAAGAATTAGGATAAAGATACATATAAAAAATATTTCACATGCAGTAATCCAGTTGTATAATAACTTGGCCATAAGGACCAGGTGATTGGTTTCCTTTGGAAAAAAAGTGATCGATTTGACTATTGTGTTTAGATTTTATTTTTGGAAAAACGGTGTTTTTGCCCGTGTCCAGAAGTTCAATTGTGATTTTACCCTTATTTTTTCAACTTTGTGATTTTACCCCTGTTATTTTGAAACGAAGGAGCAGTTTGCCCCTGGTTTGGACGTCCGTTATTTAGAGGCTGATTAAACGATTTTAAAAAAATAAAACACATAAAATCATATGCGAAATGACCGAAATGCCCTTATCACAGTTATCCCATCCGCAGGCTCGCTCTCTTCGTTGCTATATCTTTCATTCGACGCGAAAGCTCCATATGATGAAGACCCATGACAGCGCTACTTCGGCGGCCGAGCACCCGTCGTGGCCGTGCGCCCTACTCCCGCCGCCATGGCGCTCCGGCACCCCGCGCTTGCATGACGGCGGCCCTCGGCGACCTCGCCCGTCGGTCATGGCGCTCCGGCAACCCCAAGATCGGCGCTGACGGTGGCCCTCGCGACAGCGCTTGGTAAATACCGATGGGGCAAATCCACCCTATTGGGTAGGGCGCGTGACATCGACGGGGGAGGCACGACCGACGGTTTTCAGCAGGGCGGGGCGCGCAAGGCGGCGTTGCGGTGGGCGCGGCGGTCGCGTTGGGGCTAACTTAGACGGGAAGGCCAATGCCGCGGCGAGCTCACGGCGGGGTGCGGTTAGGCGGCGTCGCGGCATGGCCGACGGCAGGCGCGCTACTGTTCTAAAGTCTTGCGCCAGTAGTCGGGCGGACGCCGCGACATCGCAATAGTGCAAGAATCGGGCGTGGCGGTCGAGCGGCCGCGTGCAAGGAGGGTGCCGCGGTCTCGTGCGGGGCTAGACGCGACTCCCGGCGGCGCCTGGCCGCGGCTCCCGGTGACGCCTGGCAGCGGGTCTCCGCCGCCTCTCCCTCCTTCTCCTCCTCCTCCCCACGCGAGCTCCTCCGCGCAGACCATGAAGCGAAGGAAGGTGGAGGCGTAGCGTTCGGACGGCGCCATCGACTTCGGCGGTCGTCTTTGGTGCTACCTACGACCCGGAGCCGTCGCCCTCCTGCGCCGCAGCGCATGCGCCAAAGGAGCCACCACGGACCCGACTGCCGGCTTGTACGCGCGGTGCGAGAGCTTTCCTCCGAGCTTACGCCCTGCCTTCCCCTGGCCAGGTGTGCGTGCCCTAGACCGCCGCCGTTTTTCTTGATGCCGTGGACCGCCGCCGTTGCCAACTTCCCGCCGCCAAGAACGGGCCAACCGAGTTCGCGACGTCGCCCTGGTGCTGTAGAGCCGCCCTGCTCGCGCTTTCGTGGACCGGAGCACGAGACCGAGAGCTGCCCGTGCGCTATCCACGCGCGCTTCCCCCAGCAAGCGTCAAGCGTCCTCGACGCAGCGCAGCAGCCCGGCCCGCCCCTCGCTCAGCGCCCGTCCCCGTACCCTGGCCACAATGACGAGCCTGGCGGCTAGGCCCTAAGCACCGCATCTCCGGTGGCCGCGCCATGGCCGGACGGTCGACCCCGCGCCGCGTGCAACCGAGCCTCGGCCAGACAGGGGCAAAATCGCAATTAGCCATAACAAATAGGGGCAAAATCGCATGGACATTCATGTCCTTTTGTATAAAGTTTAACACCGTTAGGGGTGGATGACGGAGCAGGGGCAAACTGGTGCTTCGTTTTGAAATCATAAGGGTAAATTCACAAAGTAAAAAAAAACAGAGACAAAATCACAATTT